GGAGATCCAGAAAACTATCTCCCCAGATTTATTGTCCCTCAAGGAGACAAAAAACTCTGATGACTTTGTTCTTCAAAAACTCCATGTCCTGAACTTCAGCTCCCAAAAACTAGTACCTCCACAAGGCAGAGGCGGAGGCTTAGCTTTATTGTGGAACCAGAATGTGGATCTTGAAGTGCTTAAAGAGATCCTAATTACATTGACAAGCGTATTAAGGCAGAAGGCAAAAGCTTCTTTGCAACCTTCATCTATGGTGAACCTGAAAGAGCCACGAGAAAAGAAATTTGGAACCAGCTCTCAACCATAGGACAGAATAGATCAGAACCTTGGTGGTTAACGGGTGATTTCAATGATATAATCGACCCTTCAGGAAAACAAGGCAGAGTAAATAGACCTGAGGGTACCTTTGTATATATGAGAACCTTTATGTCAGAATGTGATCTCTACGACCTCCGACATTCGGGCAACTTCCTTTCTTGGAGGGGCAAACGACATGAGCATCTAGTTTTCTGTAGACTAGATAGATCTATATCAAATAGCAGCTGGGCTGAGGAGTACCCTTCTGGTAGATGTGAATACCTTCTGTTTGAAGCTTCAGACCACACGCCTCTGATCACTTACTTTGACCTACAAAAGAAAAGAAAGAAAGGCCTGTTCAGATATGACAGACGACACAGAAACAACAAAGAGATAACAAAATTGGTGGTCAAAAACTGGAGAGGGTCTAAATATGAGGAAATGGATATTAAAATGAGCAGATGCAGAAGGGCTATTATCGAGTGGAGTAAAGAGAAACAAATTAACAGGCAAAAAAAATCAAGGAGCTTCAATCGCAGCTTGAGACAGCGATGATAGACCCAACATTGTGGAAGTCGGATTCACACACTCAAGTATTTATTTATTTAGTGGGAAGGATTATTCTTGAGGACAAATATACTAGAAAATAGATAAATGATTATAGAGAAAACTACGAGTATTGTAAAAGAGTGTGTATTGCTAATTTGCACCAAGAAATGCGTGTGTCCTTTACATAGTCTTTGACTCCCAATTTATACCCAAATAATACATTTAACACCTATTTACTCACAATCATTCTACCTTAAATGTATTCGTTTTTTGTCTTTTGAATTAACTATTTGAACGTTTAAACCGAGTCCACTCCGAGCCTTCTGGGCCTCACCTCTCGGCCCATTCGTTTTCTTCAATTCGAGTAGTCCTGACCTCGACGCTGCCTTCACCTCGCAAACCAACATCTCGCCCATACTCTCACCTCGAAGATGCTTATGGGCCCTCCCTCTTATGGGCTTCTTCTACTTGTGCGACAATCTTTGGCTGGATCCGAGCCCATGGTGCGGGATCCGACACCAACAATTAGCCCCCCAAGTCTTTCGAATTGTTACTCTAGTTTGGAAGGCTTTAATGTTCTAAGGATAAAGATTGCGCCAAATGACTCTATTGGGGTCGGATTCCCCCACAAGCAAGACCGAGCCAAACAGTCTAAGAATAACAATCACCTCATGGTTAAACATATGATTGGCCCCTAGCCTAGAACAAAGCATCTCGAGACCTTATTCGATCAACCGTCCTGGAGAGAGTTCGTAAAATGGCTCGGGTGTTAATCCTATGAACACAGCCCGAGCCAATCGTGAAAACGTTGCGGGAAACATCTATATCGGCTAAGGAGACAGTCAACTGAGCTTAATGGACAGTCATCAAGCGCGCCCCGAGCCGGTACATACCGTTTGCGCGAAGCCAGCTCTCAAACGACCACCGAGCCGTGAAGAACACCCGAGGCAAAGACTTGTAAAAACCATTCATTCTTAAAGGATCATTTTTGGTAAAATAGGATCTTTTATGGGACTTTCAGAAATGATAAAGGAGAATCTTTGAAGATAATGTCGGATCAAAAAAGCCTTGTGAAGCCTCCGAACAATAAGGAAAATATCTTTAATACGATTATCCTCTAGAACTGACTTAAGGATAAATGGAAATCTTACGAGAATATCGTTAGGGAGGCGGTTTAACGACCCTATATAAAGTGCCTCAGGGACTTCACAAAAGGGAGATCTTTGGATACTCAGAAGAAACACATAACTTTATACATATTGAGAACTACGAATGGCTTGATCCCTTCACAGGGTACGTAGGCAATCCATCATGGATGCAGCTATACCTTTTTAAAACCCTAATTCTTTTTCTGTTCTTGAGCAAAACCCTAATGTATTTCATAAGAGATTAGAACCTCTTTTGTAATCGAGTCTTGGATAGAATACCTAATGAAGAGAAATTACTAGATTTGTTTTCCCTCTCTAAACAAATCTATTGTGTGAATCCTTGGTTCAACAATTGGCGCCGTCTGTGGGGAACGACAAAGAACTCTCTTTGCATATCATTCATCCAAGTATTCGATGTACGCTCATCAAGCCAAAACAATCAGATCCGTCTAAATAGACCAGTCTGCCTCGGGACCGATTTCCCGTCAAGGTACAATGAACCAGGTGACGTATAACCTGTTCACGGATTGCCCCGGAGATCAGCTTTCCAGGGAGTCTAACGGTAGCTCAATCGGATATCTCCTCTCAGAGTTATCGCCGTGTTTCTGAAGTCGATGCTGTCAGTTTCTTAACAGATCCGTCCGAATAGACCAATCTGCCTCGGGACCGATTTCCCAACAAGTCACAATGAATCTCGCAACGAGTAATATGTTCACGGATTGCCCCGGATATTAGCTTTCCAGAGAATCGAACCACGTCTCAATCAGATATCTCTTCTGAGAGTTATCTCCGGTTTTCTGTGTCAGATGTAGTCTGTTAAACTACAATCCGTCTGAATAGTCCAGCTCGCCTCGGGGCCGATTTCCCGACAAATCACCGAGAGTCTCATGAGGCGTAATATATCAACGGATTGCCCTCAATGTCAGCTCTCTTAAAAGCCCAACCTCGGCTGAATCCAATCTCTGTGCTGAGAGTTATTGCCTATTCTTTGCAGCCTTGAAAACTCAGACCAACCGACTTTACGATCAATTTTCTAAGCTCCAGACTAGCTAACTCGCAGCACGAGTTCATGACTAATCTCCCATCGATTCAGAAGGAACCCGGGATTGATCTACATATCATCTTGAAGCCTTGAGGCTTATCTTTCTAGCGAGATCAACTTCACCTCAGTTGGCACTGGCTACCGAAAGTTATCATCATATTTTCAGAACAGTCCAAAATACTAAAACGCAGAAGCTGTTATCCAATTCTCCGACTTCGAGACCAAATTCCCACTGATATAGATGGAATCAAGAGCCTATCGACATACCATTTTGAAGCCCCGAGGCCTATATTTCTATCAAGACCGACCTCTCCACGATCCTAGCTGTCTACTGGGATTTATCATTGCTTTTCTGCACCGGATGCAATGTTTTTGTCAAATCCGCCGCTGTCAGAACTGCGAACTTCGGGATCCAATTTCCGGTGATCAAGAGAGCATCGCGAGACTATATTAATATCAACAGAATTCCCCGAGGCTTATCTATCAATAGAGACCAATCTCGTCTCTATCTCTGAATTCTTCCTATAGTTATCACTGATTCTCTTGTAGCAAGACCAGAGGTCGGAGGAACTGCTATATCATAATGACCAACTTTGAAATAACTTTTCTAGTTGTATAGGGCGATCCAGGAGACGATATGCATATCAATTTGAAGATCCGAGGCTTATCCTTTCAACACGACCGACCTCACCCAAATCGGAGCTGTGGAGTAAGCGTTATCACTGTTTCCATGTAACATATGACATCTGTCAAATCGCAGACTCGAACTGCGAGAAAAACTGGTTTAGAAGGTAGATTCCCAACGATTTAAAACACATCAAGAGCCCATCTACATATCATTCTAAAGCTCTGAGTCTTATCTTGCCAATCCAAGCAACTCAGAGTTCAACACAAGCCAACAGTCAGATTGTCCTCTATTACGTCCATCGTCGGTTCCGTGATAACTCCACCTATCAACCACCGGACCATGTATCATGGATGCATAGAACGCAACATACACATCTTAGTCACTAAGACAAAGGTCCTTCTTCGCCTTGGAGAGCCTCTGTTTTCCCATACTTAATCTACATAAGTCGGTTTTCAGATTTCGCAAAATCATGTCGTGGCCAATACATTCAAAGTCCTCAGAGTTGAATATGCCATTGTGAAAAGCTAACGATGTAAAAGCCTCCTAAATTTAAAGATGCTAGCACTCACAGTAGGAAGAAGGAGGATATCAACTGTAACGGAAATTCAAAGGAAAGACAAGTGGAGAAGAAAGATCACTGGAATTCTACCAAAGAACAAGCATAACCACTATTTATCACTGGATATTGCATCCTCTATTCACTGAGAGTCAATCATGGCTACTGGAGCAAATGTAACCAAAAAACAGAGTCATATATAATAAGGGAATGAATTTAAAAGCACTGTGGAGGTGGTATGTTGACAGGCTCTCCGGTGTCGGGGGTAAGGTCGACCAGCCAATACAAAGGTGTCATCATGAAGACTATCAACCCGAGACTCCATCGATTCTGACGGTTCGTCAAACGGGCTTAAGACTAAGAAGTTATGCCTCTTGCTTCCTGTCCAAGAAACAACTGAAACAGTCCTCAATCCTTGCAAAGTCTGAAACAAGATCTGATGTGCAACTAGAGCTTTTGCGAGACTTTTTCCCGACGCATCAGAACGAATTAAGGTCTACGTAAGTACTCTCAGCAAAGATCTCACTACAAGGAATCATTTCCCGTTAGCGGATTACAAATTGGTGTTAATCCCTATCCGCAACTCGCCTTCGAAGTTGGCCCAAAATCATTCAAACTGCAGAAATCAGGAAACAATGATTCTGTTGCAACAACTTCAGAGGGTCATGGAGGAAACATACAACGTCCGATCCCGCTAGAAATTTACAGAAAGCTCTTTGACGCTACTAGATAGTGATTCACCGGTGGGATCGAGAAATCAACGGTTCAGAATAAAGTTATCAATGCATCTCCGAATCAGCAAAAAGAAGAAAAAATCACTTTGCTACAACAACTTCATATGACCGTAGAAGCTTCATGCAATATCTGATCTGACTAAAATTCGGACAAAACCTTCGTGGGACTTCCAGATAAAGCTTCAACGGTGGGATCAATAACTTAACGGTTCAAACGGAGGTTATCAGTTTTCTCTATAAATCTGCAAAAGGGAATACATTACACTAACAAGTGACAATGAATCATCACTAGCTATCGCTCAAGGCTTCCACTCATTCATCAATAATGCGATCTCCAATTCTGGCTTTGTCTCGACGACCACCCTCATAAAAGATAAGTTCAATTACTTTCTTACATGTTAATTGAGCTTGATTGACATTCTCACTTATATAACAAGCATTCATCCTTGCTTCTCTCTTTCTACGCAAAGATGAGATCTCCTTTAACGAACAACATCTTAAATGTAGATTTTCATACAACGACGTTTACAATCTCAGAGATTCAGATCGTCCATGTCGTAGATGTCATCATCTCTATGTCCAAACTCCTAACCAATAAGATAAGTGTTTTCTATTATAATCTAACAAGCATAACTTAATCATATATATGCATTCTCTGTTATATTTTTTGCGTAAACTTGCAAAAACACTCGTCTACCGAGCAAAAAGACTCGTCTACCGAGCAAAAAAAAACAACTCTTCTATCGAGTAAAAAAAGAGCTCCGGCCTCTTCACCATAACCTGAACTACGGGTTGGCTTGATCCCTGCAAAGAGTACGTAGGCAGCTTGTCTCCGGACGAGTTCAGCTAGCCCCCACACAAAAAAAAAAAAAAGGGGGGGAGTGGAGTCCGTATATCCATACTCCCACTTCAATTTTAAACTTTCGCTTCGGTTTAAATTTGAACTTCATTTTTCTACTTCGAATTTTCTTGGAATTCGATTTCTAAATCTTTTTACTTTGAAATATTTTATTGGGCGACGGCCTATTATTTTCAAAGTTTCATTTACACCGCTTCGGTTACAGCGCGCTATATAAATATTCAAGATAAGAATCTACTCAGATATTTTTCCGAGCAGGCTATGAATTCTATCTTCTGAAACCCGGTTATACTTAACACCGGTGCCCCATCTCGTTTCTAAACGCTGGTAAAAGACTGAATTAGATCGGGTCGCAACCGTGGGTATTCAAGTCTACTGAAATCCAGTTACTCTAAACACACTGGTACTGAGCTAACAACCTCGGGCATGAAAGACAAAGCTTCGCCCGAAAACGCTCCGATACATTCACTCATACAAAAACCCAGTCCTAACTCGTATCGAGCCGATCACTTCGGAAACTAAAACCCAGTTATCATAAACACTGGTGCCGAGCTTTTGCTTCGGCTAAATACAGTTTCTTATCTACTTTGGTCTCAGTGCTTAGAAATCCAGTTATCCCGAGTAACCTGGTACCGAGACGATCAGCTCGGAACAAAATATACTGAACCCAGCTTTGACTCAGGCAATTTGTACCCGAGCCAACCACCTCAGGTATGCGAGAAGCTTGATCGAACTTCCATTATATTTGTCTAACTTATACCCGAGCCAAACACCTCGGTTATGAAAGACAAAGTTTCTTATCGAAGTCATTCCAATATATTCATTAAAAATGTGGATAAAGCCATCCAAGCATGTCTTTACATAAAAAAAAAAAAAAAAAAAAACGATATTGTTTGGGAACAAGAAAAATAAGCCTTACTCTCAAAAGATACGGATCAAACAGTTTAGATGCGGAAGCAGCTGGCTCGGTCACACCATTCATGAAGCTCGTCGCATTAACTCTTAACCAACGAGCTGGGGGGCTAACTGTTGGGGTCGGATTCCCCCACAAGCAAGACCGAGCCAAACAGTCTAAGAATAACAATCACCTCATGGTTAAACATATGATTGGCCCCTAGCTTAGAACAAAGCATCTCGAGACCTTATTCGATCAACCGTCCTGGAGAGAGTTCGTAAAATGGCTCGGGTGTTAATCCTATGAACACAGCCCGAGCCAATCGTGAAAACGTTGCGGGAAACATCTATATCGGCTAAGGAGACAGTCAACTGAGCTTAATGGACAGTCATCAAGCGCGTCCCGAGCCGGTACATACCGTTTGCGCGAAGCCAGCTCTCAAACGACCACCGAGCCGTGAAGAACACCCGAGGCAAAGACTTGTAAAAACCATTCATTCTTAAAGGATCATTTCCGGTAAAATAGGATCTTTTATGGGACTTTCAGAAATGATAAAGGAGAATCTTTGAAGATAATGTCGGATCAAAAAAGCCTTGTGAAGCCTCCGAACAATAAGGAAAATATCTTTAATACGATTATCCTCTAGAACCGACTTAAGGATAAATGGAAATTTTACGAGAATATCGTTAGGGAGGCGGTTTAACGACCCTATATAAAGTGCCTCAGGGACTTCACAAAAGGGAGATCTTTGGATACTCAGAAGAAACACATAACTTTATACATATTGAGAACTACGAATGGCTTGATCCCTTCACAGGGTACGTAGGCAATCCATCATGGATGCAGCTATACCTTTTTAAAACCCTAATTCTTTTTCTGTTCTTGAGCAAAACCCTAATGTATTTCATAAGAGATTAGAACCTCTTTTGTAATCGAGTCTTGGATAGAATACTTAATGAAAAGAAATTACTAGATTTGTTTTCCCTCTCTAAACAAATCTATTGTGTGAATCCTTGGTTCAACAGACTCTCCGATTTTCCGCCTAAATTACGTAATCGCGTTGATTTCGGAATTTCCTGTAATTACTCGAGTGACACATATCGCAATTATGACCACATAATATTTATTTACTATTAAAGCGGGGAAACTATCCCACTTCCTCCACGACTTCCAAGGCGGTTCTGTCATCATCACTGGCTCACGTGTAGGTAAATTCACTTTACTCTTTCCTTGTCATTTTATTTTTCACACTTCTCTCTCAAAGCAAAATTCTTCTTTCTCTCTCCAAACCTTCAATCCTCTTATTCACCATACGATGAATTCCGAAGTTGAAAGACCTGAATCCCCCTCTTTCGATGACGCCGGCTCTAGTAACGACCTTTGTACCCGGCCAAATGACATCGCCGGTCCCCACTATCAATCCACATGCCCTCTCCAATCTCTTAATCGATTAGGAGAGCTCTATCGGATTCCGACCGAAGTAATGGAGGACTTCAGATGCCGGAGCCTACCGAATCGCCGGAGGACCACCGCCCCAGATTCTTCTGCGTATACGAAATCTACTTCAAAGGTTGCGGTTTGACTTTTTTCCTCTTCCCGAAGCCCTTGTTCGATACTTGGCTGCTCTTGAAATTGCTCTGCCTCAACTAACCCCAACCTCCTCCGGACTATTCTGGGGATTATTACCATCGCGGCAGAAGCCGGGTACGTCATCGGGGTTCCCGAACTGAATGAACTTCTCAACGTGAGGACTTCCTTGAAGAAAGTCGGATACTTTTCGGCTTATCCGAACGCCAATAGAAACCTCATCTCGTATCTCCTAAACAAGGATGAGAATTGGCATCACCCATGGTTCTTAGTCAAAAAGAGCCCTGCTTCGATTGGAAACCTCCCGGACTTACTCCCCTCGAAATGGACTAAGCCCGGTAGTTGTTAGGTCATGCATATGAACTTCATTTTATTTCTTGTATTATCTGACCAACTTTTATTTTTCAATTCGCAGCTTTCATCGCACCAACCCTTCCGACCGCCGAATTCGGCGAATTCTTCAAGATTGTCATCGAAGGAGAAACTCTTTGGAACTCCTTTACTCTCGACCGGTTCATAGAAGCCAACCACAAGCTTAGGATGAGCACCCCTGGACATCTTCTCCAATTGCCACTGCCCCCTCCTTTACCTAAAGGGACTTCTGCACGGGCCATCGTAGCTCGTCGTAAGACGCTGTCCAAGTCGATTGTGGAGGATTGCGAAGTGAACAAATCATTTCTCCAATCTACAGTCGACAAGAAAGAATATAGCAGAACCTTGTTAGTCGATGATGGCAGTGCCGAAGGGGCAAGATCTGCCGGTGCTTACAGACCCACTCCTCACCGTGAACGCCATAACGGCCGGTCATCCCACAAGGAGCAATCACCTCGCCCTGACTCACCTCGGCCCACCTCCCGAACTGGACTAAGCAGCGAGCCACTTGCTGACCTGATTCGGAAGAAGAGAGACAGATCAACCCGCAGCAGCTCCTCCCCCAAAAGAGACAAGACGAGAGCCCGAACTGACCGCTCTCCTCGGCCATCGCCGCCACCCCGATCTATGGGTCCTCCTCCTCCAGTCACCGTATCTCCTTCATCCGAATCAGGAGGTGAAAAGGTCGAGCGGAATGCTAACCCCCGACGGGATGAAACTGAGGTCCGAGATGCTGGAACTAAGGCTGTTTTGGTTCCTCAGACCAAGTCGCTCACGGGTTAGAAATTTCTTTCTATTTTATATTATTACATTTTTTACCATTTCGACTTATTGACTTAGCGTTCCTCGACTGGTCCAACCTTTTCTAACAGCGATGGAAACGGAGGGAAACGTCTTTAGATGTTTCAAAACCCGAAATGACACCATCCTGCCAGCCTTTGATAGATGGCGTCCTGCAATTCGCGAGCGATTCCTACTCCATGCCCACCACTCATCTCGGGTTAGTTCCCTTAACCTACAATAGGTCTTTTAATCTTTGCTACTTTACTTAGATGCTAACCCCTTCTCGTTATTATCTGGTTCAGGCGAACAGCAAACTCAACGACATGATTGAGTACTACGAAAGGCTGCTGCTAGACAGGGAAAAGGAGGTTATGACGTGGAAAGATAAGTCTTCGTCCCTTGATCTCTGCTCTTCAAATGACACCAGGCAAAAACTGGAGGACCAACTGGACAATCTCTCCTCTGAACTCATGAAGTCCAATGGCGAGCTGCAGGAACAGTACCAGAGGTATGACAAGATCCAAGAAGAACTCTCAACTTCTCGGGACAGACTTTCGGAATCCGAATCTAGGGCCTACGAATTGTCCAACCAGCTGTCTGAATTGAAGCTCAAGTACAAAGCGGTGACCAACTATCGGGATGCTGAGTTAGTGAGGTCGGCATCAAAAGCCAGGAAGGAGGTGAAATGTCGCGGGATGGAATTGATCCAAGGGGCAATTGTCTTCATCCAAACCGAAAAGGCTAGAATGGAGCTGGAATCAGACATCAAGGAGTACGAGAGCAATCTCCTCCTTTTGGACCAAACCCATGAAGATGACTTCTCCGAGGAACGAGAGAGGGACGAGTTGAAGACCGTCCTGGAAGAAAAGCGAAATCGTTTAGCTGCCCTTCCGTCCTCGTCGTTCAACCCTCAACAGTTCGAGGAGTTCTTCACCGAATCGCCTCCTTTGAGCGAATCTGGTTTAGACTGGGCCGGTATATTCCAACTCTCTTTTTTTTAAAACCAATCCACAGCGAATTACTCTTGTATTAATCCGAAGTGCCTTAGGTGTTAGCGATTC